CCAGACTGAATTTTTCATTGGGCAGAAGTGGTTTTTTATCAACGACAAAGCTAAGCATCGTGTGCATACAGGAGTAATAGCGAGTTAGTTAATGAGTGGGCAAGCCAGCAAAAAGATTAAGCCATAAAGGCTTGATGAATGAATCAAATGCTTTTCTATGGTCTGTGTAGGTAAAATCAGCTTGAAATACTTTTCGGTTCTTAATGAAGCTATGCTGACATGGAGAAAGGATCAAAGAGAAAAGGTGTTGAAGAGGAGTAATCATTTTTTAAAATAACTGCGGAATTGTTAACAATTTAAAGATGCCTCTGTAGTTGGCAGCATCGGACTTCTCCCCTTTTTTATGTAAGGGAATTATGAGAGATTCCTTCCACTTAAGGGGAAAAATCGAGGTTTCCAAAGAAAAGTTGAAAAGTCTAAGAAGAGGTTCGCACAGAGCCCTGGCACAGTACTTTAGCACACAGCTTGGTTCTCCATCTGGACCTGGCGAATAAATGGGTTTGACCCATAGAAGATCAGATAATAAGTTGTTCTCTGAGAAAAACGGACAGAAAATAAGATTTGCTGCTTGAATGTTATATGCGTAAGGCTGATCTGTCAATTTAGGCGGAGCAAAAGTTGTTTGAAAAAATTTGGCGAATAAATCGGCAATGGTCTGATCAGAGGTTGCAGATGAATTTTCAAACGTAAGAAGAGGTAGCAGAGATCTTAAAAAATTTATACTACATCTACGAACTTTTTATACCCTTGGAGAGAAGTACTTTTGGAAAAAAGTGTGCAACGCAGTGAAGGAGACATCTCCGACCCTATAAAGTATATATATTCTTGATCAGGATCACCTCCTGAGTTGATATGAGCATGTCCGTCTGTCCGTCTGTTTCTACGCAAACTAGTCTCTAAGTTTTGAAGCTATCGACTTGAAACTTTGCACACACCCTTCTTTCCTTTGCACGCAGTATATAAGTCGGAACGCCCGGGATCGGCAGACTATATCCTATAGCTGCCATATAACTGATTGATCGAAAGTGATATAGCTTTGATGTTTTAGAAGTTAGAGAAATCAAATTTAACACGAGAGCAGAGTAATGCTACATGTCAAATTTCATGAGGATCGGTCGACTATAACTGAAGGATCGGAAATGGTATTTGGTATTTTTGAAGATAGAAGTTTGGGACTTTTTAAATTTTTTATTATAATAAATTGGGTTATATTATCATATTCTCATCAGGATTGGCCAACAATATCCGATGTTTGCGATATATATCTGGTTTTAACTGTAAGGGTATATCAACTTCGGCTCCGCCCGAAGTAAGCTTTCCTTTCTTGTTTATATTTAAGAAAGAGCCTGTTTGTAAGTTCGTGGGTTTTGTTGAAGCAAACAGATATATTCACGGCACAACAAAAATGAAGTCTTCATTGTCGACTGAGCAGGCTGAAGTGGATCACTAACAGCGGATTTCTTACGCTTAGGGGACTCATTTAGCACTTGAAGGCCGCTAAGCTGAGAGTCAAGTGCACATTGGTCATTGATTATCGATCAACTCTGTTTGGTCATTGAGAATTTTCAATGACTGTAAAAAAAACACCAAATTGGATTAAAAAGAAAAGTTATAAGTCTTTATTTTGCCGTATATGAAACTGTGTTCTTATTTATATAATATGATAGACCAATTTAGGATGCGAGCGCAATAAGATCAAAAGCACCAACCGTCAATACTAGGCTGAGCGGATGCTCGTTGGCTTTGGTTTCCGAATCAGTTGAAGCCGAGCGACCGAACGGGAGTTGGATTGCGACAGGGCACAGCTTAGATACTGCTTGCTTGGTAATTCCAGATGAGGTTTTAATCACCGCCACTCGAAAGACTCCATCTCGACCAGGGATTAACTCCATTATTCTCGCAATCGGCCACTTCATCGGAGGTAGGTTCTCGTTCTTTACTAGCACCACATCGTTCAAAGCCAAGGTAGGACCGGAAAGCCATCTGGAGCGCTGCTGTAGAAGGTTTAAGTACTCCTCCTTCCATCGGGACCAGAAAGACTGCTGCAGGAAAGACACGCGCTGCCAGCTGTCCAACCGGTTGAAGTTCAGCTTTTTGACATTGGGCTCTATAAAGCTGGATGACGGACAACCAGTTAAAAACTGAGCCGGGGTTAGAACATCAAGATCTGCAGGATTCTCTGAAAGAGACAATAAAGGTCGTGAGTTAATGACAGCCCCAATATGGCACATCACCGTTCGCAGCTCCTCGAATCCAAGAATTGCAGATCCAACAGCCCGGTAAAAATGGTGCTTGGCGGTTTTAACAGCCGCTTCCCACAGACCACCAAAATGCGGAGATCGAAGAGGATTAAAATGCCATTCGCTTGACTCTATAGAGAAAAACTCTAGCAGTGCCCGTTGATGCTCATCGCTTAGAAATAGTCGGAGCAGCTCCTTTAGCTCATTTTTGGATCCAACAAAGTTGGTTGCGTTGTCAGACCAAATGTGTTAAGGACTTCGGCGGGTGCATATAAACCGCTTCAAAGCCTGTAGAAAAGAAATTGTTTACAGATGCCTTACAAGCTCCAGGTGGACGGCTTTGGTAGCAAAACAAATAAAAACGCTGACGTAACATTTTACTGGAGCCTTATGACGCCCTTCCGGACTATAATAAAAAGGCTCACACCATACCAGTGACTCCAAAGACGTGGGAGCCGCTAAACCTTTGCTCCGGGAGATCAGCCATAACGTATCTAACAACCAAGGCTTAGTCCGGAAGCATCGGATGCATTTGTGTATTGCCTTCGCCACCGTTTTTCTCCCCCCAATTGGTCAATATTGGGACCGAATGTTTAACAACAGCGCGCGAGGTCCCGTATGTAAATTCCGCTCATGGAAGTCAACAATTATAGCCAGCGTAACTGGATGGCAAAATCCAATGAATTTTTTAGCCGACCGTCTACGCGCAACATCCCAAATTTATCCAAGAAGGGAGAGGATGAGGCAAGGGCACTGGATACCGCTATCTCCTTTCCACTTTGACGATCCTTTATGTCCTCTCAAAAATGCACACGCTGCACTAGTCGCAATAAAAGCTGTGTTCCAAATTTGATATCGCTAGCCGTGACACCGTTGTGGCGAATTCATTGAGAAAACTTGTATACGTACGCGAATACCCTCTGCAGTGCTGGAACGAACGGATATATATCCACGTACGGAGATTGAATGAGAAGGACCCTTGCGTAATTCCAGGGTCGATCTCTCAGATGAGACCGCTGTTGGCCACTTCTCTTGGGATCCAATGAGAAACGAAGGACCGTGAGACCACAGCTTATTCTCAATCAATTCATTGGGAAGAGCTCCACGCGACAGGATATTTGCTGGGTTCAAAGAAGTAGGAACATACCGCCACTCCATTTCTCTAGTTAGCTTCTGAATGGTCGAATCTCGATTGGCGACGAAAACATTAAACCGAGAGGGTTTTTCGCGAATCCAAGACAAAGCCACAACAGAATCGCACCAGCCAAAATACCTTTCAACGTAGACCTGAACTGTGCTACTTCCGACGTAAGTCGAAAGTGAGTTTTGTTAAAGCAGACAGATATTTTCACGGCACAAAGAAAATGAAGTCTTTATTGTCGACTGAGCAGGCTGAAGTGGATTACTAACAGCGGATTTCTTTATTTTGCCGTATATGAAACTGACTTCTTATTTATACGATAGGCCAATTTAGAATGCGAGCGCAACAAGATCAAAAGCGAGAGTGGCGCCAACCTTCAATACTAGGCTGAGCGGATGCTCGCTGGCTTTGGATTCGGGCCGAGCGGCCGAACGGGAGTCGGCTTGCGACCAAGAATGCCTAACTTAATAATTAATTATTTGAACTAGCAACTAGCTGCTTGACCCGACAAACTCTTTAAAACCGTTCTTATTTTGTCTCATGAATGACCTCCTGTCGTCCTGACAACACCACAATTATCGCAACAATAATAGTGTGTACAACGTTTTTACTGAGCCAGCAATGGATGGTAGGCTGGGATGAAGAGATAGTCATATTACAAGACTTCATAAAGCAGACCAGTTTGAGTTCCATTATAATATTAAATATTTAAAAAATTTTAACAACAATATACCTTGAACCACTGTGCCAAATAGAGGTAAAGAGGAAGCTTTGAAGAGAGCGACTGGAGTTGACAAATGGAAAAAAAGAGGAAAAAGCAGAGCCGAGCTATGCTTGGATTGAAATTAAACAAACTATTAATTTGCTTCCAAATATATTACACCACACGCCGAACGATACGGTTTTTGTTGAAATTGAGAGAAGTTTTGAACTACAAGAACTAATAGTAGTTAAGGTTGGCCACGCTTCAAATGATCATGCCAGGTGAAATGATCAAATCACCTTTTTTTCCCCCCCATCTTTCTCAGACATAAATAAAAGCATAAACATAAATAAAATTTTCGACAATGAGCTCTTGGTTAAGCATGGAGTAATTAATTTTCTTCTTTCATCTTTTCCCACCCATGCATACATAATAATTCAAGTTGCCTAATTGTATATCGTACAAATAATTATTAATTGTTGTGCCAAGTTTAGCGAAATAGGAAGCCATACCCAAGTTTGTGGCCAAGGCAATGAAGGAGCTGAGAGCGCTGGAGAGGGTACGTAAGGTTGGCAACGTAAATACCAAAACAAAAAACAAAGCCTGGCGAATAAATGAGTTTAAGCCATTGAAGATCCAATAAAAAATTATTCTTAGGGAGAAAAAATCATAATTAAAATCAAAACCTGGTACATGTCCGACTATATCACACGGACACTTTATAGCTGAGTATATTTTCTTGCCTTCATTACGTTTTTCGGTAAAGGAATTTTTCAATAGAGAAATAATCATAAAATCATATATAAAACCACTATAACCACTTAAATTAAAACGACTCACAATGAATTTTCCATTTAAATCAATACTAATGATTTTATAATGTTAGGAACATTTATATATATATAACTAATCTTGGAAAAACAATTAAGCATCTTCAGATTTCGTCTCCACAATGCGACTTATTATGGGAATGTCTTCGCCTTTTGTAAAGTTCGCCAGAGAATCAGCATTAAGAATGCTTTGAATGTAGTCATGCCGAAACTTTTCCCACTTGCGCGTCTTTAGAAAATCTTTAAAGAGATCTTCTCTAGTTGGAATATTGCACTCTATGTAAAAGCGTTGACGTTGCCATATGTTTCCTGGATTTTGTCCAGCCTCGAAAAGCCAAAAACGAGGAATTAATATGCACTGAACCGTTGTACGAGCCATAATAACACGGTGGTCCATTTTTTCTCCTAAGCCAAAGATCCCGCCGTACGTTAAAGAACCAACGTCAATAAAGTGAGTTTCAAAATGTTCAAAAATTGTTGGCTCCTTGGAGGCAACTTTCACTGATGTGGTTGATGCGGTAAATATTTCCGAACCTTCAGTTTCACTTTCTAAAATCATTGGGCTGGTCTCAGACAAAGGCGAAAGTATACCAGACATATCACTATACCGACTGTGCGTCTTATCATCCAAAGGCTCGTAATCAGCTTCAGATTCGCCTGATACGTAAAGCTCGTATTCCTCTCTCTCTCGTTCACGTTCTCGCTGCCGTTGTCGCTGCCGTTGTCGCCCCTGTTCTTTCGTGGATCTTCTTGCTATTGGCTTTTTCATTTCAGTACAAGCCTTTTGAATTTCCTTTAGACCCATTTTGCGAAGCTATTTAAAATAAATTTTTTTTTAATAATATATAAATAAAAAATCAAAACAAACATGAAAAAAACGTACTCCTCGTTTTTTACTTTGATTATGCTCGTCTAACGAAGAACTTGATTGCATAAAATCGTTTACATCAAAGACTGTATCGTTATTCCTATTGGATTTGGTGTCCTCTTCTAAAACTGCATTTTCAATATCCCTTTTTGGTACCATTGCAAGCTCAAAAATTTTCTCTCTATTTATCATATTTACCTTAAAAAAAAAAAAAATTTATTACTATGATTTGAAGCAAAAGCAATTTTAGTCAAATTATATGATTTCATCTTAAAGGTTTCCCTATTCTCTAATTTAAGCAGTTAAAAATTGTTATTGTTCTGTTGCAAATTTTGTATTTAATTTATTAAAACAAGTCTACCAACTATACAAGTATTTGGTAAATAAGAATACTGCTTACCTTCATGTGGAGACATTGAAGAACAACGCATTCTCCACTTAGAACAAAGTAGACATAGCTCATTGATCCCAAATCTTCAGTATAGATAGTCTCTAAAGGATCAAATTGCTGAATTATCCCATATTTACTTGCGTTGACAATCTAAACAATAATACATTTTAGTGCTTGAAAAGTAAATTGAACTGAACCCACTTGCTCTTCATTGAGGAAATTAAAATAATCTAAGGCCCTTAGTGCCGATTTTTTTTCCAGCCACAATTTCTGCATAAATGGTTGAAGAATTTGCTTATAATTCGTATTAAATACAGCCAGAAGCTCGCAGTTGGCTGTAAGAAAAATAAAAAAAAAATATATTCTAATAGTAAACAAATTTGAGATTTTACTTGTGGCTGCATAAGTATTTGTTCTTGGGGAGTTTTCCATGACATCTATATCGCCTATGCAATCACCTGGTCCAAAAATAGCTTCTGATTGTATTTCATGAGTTTTAGTGGCCTACAAAAAATAAAATAAGTAAATATAATAATTCAATTTTCAATGAAACAATCAATTTAATCAATAATTATTTTATACCGTTTGTTTAATGAGTTTTTTTTTATCTCACAGACTTAAAAAATAACAAAAAATGGTGGCTGCCGAATATTTAAAAAAGGTCGAAAAACGAGAACGAAAAAATGGTCGTGCCTTTTCAACGCTATAATTTCTATTATATTTTTCTCTAATCTTAAGCCTAACTTATCTATTGCGGCTAAGCGGGGCGAATTCGCACAAGAGCGAATATGAGCTTTCGCTCCCGCTCCGCCCTAAGCTAGAGCTAATATAATTCAACTATAAACTATACTTCAAATTTACGACAACTTCAATATTAATAACAAATCCATTAACACCGGCCCCGTTGAAGATCTCCATCAGGCTTCAACCAACTGGCAGCCGCGCCAGCTTGTGGACCGCTCTTTTGTACTCCGCTCCAGAGCAAATTCTGACGACGGCGACCCTGACCCTACCGTCCGCGCCGGCGCGTGTGGCTCCTACTCGTCCTGTGAGCCAATGTTGTGGCGGCTGGTGATCCTCTGCGATCAGGACCAGCTCGCCCGTCCGGATGTCGTCCTCCTTGCTCTGCAACTTTGACCGCGCCTCCAGGCCCAAGACGTATTCCCGAGACTATCGTTGCCAAAACATTTCAGAGCCCCTAGGGGTCGTGAGTTCAGGACGTCCTCGACTCCAACGAGGACGGTCTGCAGCTCCTCCGCGGTCAGTCTGGCGTTCCCTACCGCTCGTAGGAGTAGATGTTTGGCAGACTTCACACCTGCCTTCAATAGTCCGCCCATGTGCGGAGCCCGCGGCGGTATGAACGCAAATACGCCTCCTTTTTTTTGATGCGTATTGCGTGACCGCGTTGACCTCGTCCTCGATTCTCCGACGAAGCTCTGCGAAGTGGCGACTCGCTCCGACGAAGTTTGTCGCGTTGTCGCAGTGCACGATCTGCGGACATCCTCGGCGCCCAACGGACTTTTGAAAAGCCTGTAATGTGCACCTCATTCCAAAACCAAAACAAATATATAGGTAAGCCAATATTTCTTTCCTTGACTGTATCCACCCAAAGATAAAAACAAACATCTAGGTAGGCCAATATTTCGCTCCTCGACTGTATCCACCCAACAGATGGGAACAGAATTGCATGGACAAGTGCCATTCCCACTTACACTTGCAGGAACGGGCCAAAGTAGGTACAAAATCATATGATTACTCCGTTAGGTAGGGAAGTTTTATGGAAGCATGGGAATGCTGAAACTCTTGGCAGTTCTTCTAAGCATTTATTCTTTCCTGATCTTTGGCCAAGTAAGAAGTTTCCATCAGCGTATTTTAAAAGCGATAGGAAATTCGGCAAACACGTGTGGTGATAAATTAAAGAAGGAAAACCCTTGTGCTACGAAGGCATTCGTCCTAAAATAAAATTAAAAACAATAGTTATTGATCGTGTTGGAAAAAAAATTACAAGGTGAGACAGTGTTTAAATAATTCCAAAAATCCCACATGACCAATTACTCTTCAGGTGGCACAGCCTTTCGACGATTCTGTCCAGGTGCAGCCTGATAGGCTTCCCATTTGGAAATTGGCCATTGGATCGGGCGTTGGACCAGATCGGAGCAGCCAAAACAACCCAGTAACCCCCCCAACATGGAATAAAGGGGACACCTTTAGCTTCTTGATCTTCGCATGGATCGCCGATAGAGTGACGTAACCAGCCGACCGAGAAGCCCAAAGTTAGCGTGTATTAGGGAGGATCAGGATGTAGAGGAGAAATAAGAACATTCACAACAACAAATAACTGTTGCCGCTGCAGTTCGGTTTTGTTTAGTTTTGTGCTTCAGCGTGCAGCCAGCCACTTATTAGAGTTAAAGCTCCGTATTTTGACTATTTTCTTTTGTGAGCCTGAATAGGAAAAAAAATATCAGTACTACACAGTGAGAAAAACAATAACCGGAAATATTGAATTGCACAAAAATATTCCAAGGCGAACCTCGATAGCTGCGCCAAATTTGTATCGACTCCCACCCCAACTGAAATCATGTATAATTTTCTTTAATTTAATTCTATAAATTCTTAATTTTTTTAACATTGCGTAAATGTAAACTCTAAGGAGTATGAATTATTTAGCATAGGACCTTATCTTTAGTAATTTCATAAGCAGACCAAATCAGAAATATTAGTCAGGTATTTTCCAAATGTATTCCTTCTCCTTTTTATAAGTAAACTGCGAAAAGCACCTCATCCTCTTGGGCACAACGATCGATGCTGAGTCGGAAAAGCTGAGTGAGTAAAACGAGTAATTACTGAATTTGAATACAATGGGAAATCCATGACCTTTTCTTTTACTTTCCATTTGAATATTAGTTTAAATTGTATTTTCCTTATAAATTGAATTTTTCTGATAAATTGTATTTTTCTATGGATTATATTTCCTTATTTTTGATTATCCTTAATTATATATAATGAACATGAGATAAATTCTTTTATTTAGAGAACTTCGGATCAAAACATGGCAGTTGAATATGGGTAGACCCCACTGTTTAGTGTAAAGTCTACATGGAAGTGAGGGTATAGACGAAGGACAACAACATCTAGACTTTCATTCAATGGGGTCAGTAGAATAAACCACCCAAGGACCGGCCGACCCCTACCCCAATTGGCGTATCAAGTTCAGTGGTACGACCAATGACCTTCTAATCGAAAATTTTATTTACCGAGTCAACTGTTTAACTTTTCAGTGTCTTAATGGTAATTTTCCTTTGCTAAGTCAGTTTGCTCATCTTCTATTTGCTGGACCAGCACTCTCATTTTATTGGCGTATCCATAGAACATCTGAACACATGAATTGGTACGAATTGTGCAGTCACTTGCAGGAAAGATACCAGGATCAGAGATCAGACCGAGATATTAAAAATGCTATTAGACGCAGAAAGCAAGGAGCGAACGAGAGTTTTGATGAATTCCATAACTCCATCTTATCCATATCCGATTCATTGCGCGAACGAATGTCAGATGGCGACATCGCTATCGAAGTTAGAAACAACCTCAGGTCAGACCTTAAACTAGAACTACCACATGTAGACACCCCGGATTTAGCTAGTCTGCGAAAGGAGTGCCATAGGCACGAAGAGTTTTATCGTAGCTTTCGTATGCGGTCGACGACCCGACCCGTCACGCGTAAGAATTTTGTGGAAGCACTGAGTGCCCAACAAGACTCTGAAGAAACCTTCGTCGAGATCGAAGAAGAATTTCCAGGTGAGGTTTTGGCCATTAGATCACCTGAGAAAATAAAATGCTGGAATTGCGAGGAATTAGGTCATCGGTATCATGATTGCCTTAAGCCACGGCGAATTTTCTGTTATGGTTGCGGCTTGCTTGATACGTACAAGCCGAGCTGCCAGAAATGCAACGCGAATTCGGAGAACTCCGCCAGGGATGTCCGCCGCAATCCGAGAGGGGATATCCGCCAATAGCCTCGGACCCAATAGACACTCATTCCAGTGTCAATAGTCCACAAATGAGTTCTAAAGTTTCAAGACCAATTAAGCCTTACCATATCCGCCTCAAAGAATACCAACAACGTAGAAAAGAAATATTTAGTAATCCATATTCTTCTGCAGGAAGAGCAAGATCATCTCAATGTATACGCGATTTTTGGAACCAAAAGAAGAGTTTGCGAAGCTTTACCATTTCATCTATTGTACGAAAGGGGGAAGACATACGACCATTTAGAAATGAATTTTTGGCCCTGCTAGACAGCGGAGCTAACAAAAATGTTATAGGAGGAAGCTTAGCCCAAAAAGTTCTATCGCGAAACCCTTTTCCTAGTAATTCAAAAGGGGTAGTTCGAACCGCATATGGACAATCATAGTGCGTAGCAGGTCTCATTAAACTTCCTTTAACGTACAACTTCACATTAGCCGATTTCACATTTTTAATAGTACCTTTAATTAAGCAAGACGTGATCTGCGGAATAAATTTTTGGAAACGTTTTGGAATATTTATTTTACATTCCAGTAATCTAAATGAAATTTCCGTACAAGATTCCTTGCAACCACAAGTCTCAAGCAGCAGGCATAACTAAAGACAGTTATCCATTCTTTTCCGTCGTTTGAAAAAGAAGGACTAGGATATACCTCCTTGATCGAACAACACATTGAAGTCGCTGACGCAAAACCAATCAAACAACGATTCTACCCAATTTCTCCCGCTAGAGAGAAATGGCTGGTCATCATGGGCGAAGCGCCAAGTTCACCATTGTGTTCGCCAGTTATGCTTCACGTCAAGCCAGGCAAAGTACGTTTGTGCTTAGACGCTCGAAAACTCAACTCAGTAACCATGAGGGATGCCTATCCTATTCCTATTATGGAAGGACTCCTAAGCCGTCTCCCACCGATTCACTGCATCTCTAAGATTGACCTTAAAGACGCCTTTTGGCAAATATGCCTCGACAAAGATTCTCGAGCAAAAACAGCTTTTACCATACCGAACAGACCATTGTACCAATTTAAGCAGATGCCATTCGGATTAACGAACGCACCTCAAACAATGTGTAGGTAAATGGATCTGGTAATTCCGTACAATCTTAAGCAGAACGTATAAGTTTATTTAGATGATCAGTTGATCCTATCAGATAGTTTTGAATCCCACTTGCTGCACTTATCCGAAGTAGCCACCCAATTACGTAAGGCAGGACTCACTATTAACATAAACAAAAGCCAGTTTTATCTTAGACAGGTAGACTACCTGGGTTATATAGTTGGGGAAGGTAGCTTACGAGTCAATCCAGACAAAATATACCGATTCCACAGAATCAGCGACAAATCAGGCTATTTATTGGAATGACTGGTTGGTACCAACGTTTCATTCTAAACTATTCCACAATCATATTTCCCTTGACCGAACTCCTAAGAGGAAAACTATTGCAATGGAATCCCATGGCTCAAGCAGCTTTTGAAGA